AGAGTGGCTGATGCATTGTCTAGGAGATATGAGGTTCTAAGTACCATGCATGCTCATGTAATAGGATTTGAGAATATTAAGACCTTGTATGAGAGTGATGGGGATTTCGGTCAAATTTGGGAGAGAGTTAGGAAAGTTAGGAAAGTATGGTGCATTTGTAGGGAACTTCACTATTCATGCAATGGTTAATCTTTTCAAGCTTTGAATGCTGTTTGTGTTCCTCAAGAACTCTTTAAGGAATGCAACATTCTTAAGGAAGTCTTAAGGAAGTCCATGGTGGAGGCCTAGCCGGTCACTTTGGAAGAGACAAAACCTATGAATTGGCAAGCAAGAATTTCTATTGGCCAAAGATGTGGAAAAAGGTTTCAAGACTTGTTGAGGGTTGTAATACTTGTAAGCAATCCAAGATGACCTTACAAGCTCACGGACCATACATGCCTTTATCGATTCCAAGCTCACCATGGGAAGATGTAAGTATTGATTTCATTGTTGGCTTGCCGAGAACAAGACGAAATAATGATTCCATTATGGTTATAGTAGATAGATTCTCAAAAATGGCTCATTTTATTGCTTGTAACAAAACTAATGATGCATCTCATATTCTGAATTTGTACTTTGAAAATGTTGTAAAACTCCATGGAATTCCTAGGAGCATAGTGAGTGATAGGGATGTCAAGTTTTTGAGTCATTTTTGGAGGCATTTGTGGGCAAGGTTAGGAACTACCTTGAAGTTCAGCACGGCTTTTCATCCTCAAACAGATGGACAACAGGTACGGCTTTTCATCCTCAAACAGAATGGAACAACAGAAGTGGGTCAATTCGAAGCTTAGCAGCATTTTGCGAAAAGTTTGTAAGGGGAAAGTAAGAATTGGGATTCTTGTTGGGCTCATGCCTGAATTGGCTTACAACAGTTGAAGAGTAATGACCACTATTTAACTACCTTTTGAATTAGTTTTAGGAGGCTTAATTCCACTTGTTCCTCTTGATTTGAGCAACGCACACTCCTAGTATCCTCTAACTTAAACGGCCTGAGGACAGAGCTACGAAATTGTCAAACTCCTCTAGAGCAAAAGACATTATTGAAAGAAGACGAAGCCTACAAGATGCAAGCCCAAGCTAAAACTGTCTGTGGAATTTCAAACGAAGGTGACTTAATGTGGGGTTACTTAAGGAAGGACGATTCCCTTCTTAAAAGAAAGAATAAAACTTAATGCTCCAAAGCCGAGGGTCCCCTTACAAATCACAAGAAGTAAACCAGAATGCTTACAAGGTAGAGCTGCTGCTCCCGTCTTACAAGATTTCCAACACGCTTTCAATCTGTAAGTGACTTAGCCAAATACAAGGAAGACACCATGTCAACTTCTGACAAGTTGAAACTTTTCAAGAAGGGAGAATGATGGAGGTCCATCTAGCCTAGCCTTTACAACTGTCCCTAGACATGGGCCTTGGTCTTGATTCCATTAGTGAAGTTGATGAGACAGTCCAAGTGAAGATGGGTTGGTGGGAGTGACATGTTCAATCTGAAGATTACAGCTCCTTTTAGGGCCATTTAGGTTTTCCTTCAAACCATCCATCTTTGAAGACATACAATCTAAAAGGAACACTTGGTTGATCATTGGACATGAATTCTAGTCATTTGTGGTTTGTCTTTCAAACCTTAGTAGGTGTCTTTTGAATCTGTGCCTTTGATATGAGTTTTTTAAACTTTAGTTAGGTGTCCATTTTGAATTGTGCCTTTGAATGAGTTATTTCAAACTTAGTTTAGGTGTCCTTTGAATAATTGTTTTCAACCTAGTTAGGGTGTCCTTTTGAATTAAGTTGTTTTCAACCTAGTTAGGTGTATCTTTGAAATGGTTGTTTTTCAACCTAGTTAGGTGCCTTTGAAATTGTGTTCCTTTGAACAACACAGTTGCAAAGGGATTTATGGCTAGTCGTCTGTTTTCCCTATATAAAGGGATTTGTGTACTTTAAGATAGATTTGGAATACAAGAAAGTGTTAATCCATTTGGGTTTTTATTAGTTCCAAAAACTATTGGGTTTGTTTTTTTCCAAACAATCAATCTATCTTTTTTTAGGTACTGTAGCACGAATGCTTCTGAGTTCCTGTAGCAAGTTACTGTGCACTTCGTGTTTCTGTAATCAAAACATAGCCCTTTCCACACGCCATCTATTTACTCTCTCCAAGAATCAACAATCGACGGTATCAACATTTTCAGTTGGAAATATTGGCTAGAGGATCTTATGTGGGTGTTGTGGTTAGCAGAGAGTTGACTAGTTATGATGGTGTTGATAATAACGGATATAACGGGGAAGATAAAGGTTTGTGGCAACTGTTTACAAAGTTGGGGTAGGAGACTCAAGCTTCGGTTTAGACAGGCAGCAAAGCAGTTGACTGTGCAGCTCGAGAACCTTCGGCTCAGTAGGAATATTGAACAGTTTGAAACTGTGCAGCGTAAGCTAGATGATGTTCTGCACCGCGAAGAGGTCTACTGGTCTCAACGAGCGAAATCCCTTTGGTTGCAATCTGGGGATATGAACTCTAGGCACTTCCATGCAACTGCTAAAAAATGGAAGAAATCTCAACAGATTTTTCAGCTCAAGGATGCTACTGGCGAGTGGATAAACGACAGTAATTTGTTGACAGGTATGGTCAGGGATTACTTTGTTAATCTGTTCGAGGCAGGAGATGTCGACTTACGTCCTGTCGTGGATTTATTTTCTCCTTTGATTTCGGATAATGATAATACTATGCTACTTGGAGATATTTCAGTGGATGAGGTTAAATTGGCAGTGCACCAAATGCATGCGGATAAAAGCCTAGGGATGGATGGACTAAATCCTAGATTCTATCAGAGGTTTTGGGATATTGTGGGTCATGATGTTGTTCAAGGTTGTCGAGACTGGTTCAATGCAAGTGCTTTTCGGATAATCTAAATGATACCTTAATTGTGTTAATTCCGAAAGTAGAGGAACCAGAGGCAGTGAAGGACCTCCGACCTATTTCACTCTGTAATGTAGTTTACAAAGTCTTTGCTAAGGTATTGGCGAACAGGCGGAAGACCATTCTACCTCGTCTTATTTCTTTATATCAGTCAGCTTTTGTCCCGGGCCGCTTGCTTTCAGATAATGTGTTAGTTGCTTTCGAGTTAATCCACTCTATGCAAACAAGAATGAAAGGTCGACAAGGAGCTTGCGCACTGAAAGTAGATATTTCTAAAGCCTATGACAGAGTTAATTGGTGCTATCTACAGGCTGTTATGCAAAGATTGGGTTTTAGCCAGCGCTGGATTGACTTGATCATGTTGTGTGTTTCCTCTGGTTTCCTCTGTTAACTATTGGGTTGGAGTGAATGGTGATGAGGTTGGCCCAATTATCCCAAAAAGGGAGTTGAGACAAGGATATCCTTTATCTCCGTATTTATTTATACTTTGTGTTGAAGGCCTGTCCAAGCTGTTTAGTAGATCTGAAACTGAAGGTCGTATCCAAGGTTGTAGAGTATCGAGAACTGCTCCTCGGTTATCTCACTTGTTGTTTGCCGATGATAGTTTGTTATTTTTTGAGGCATCACGAATTCAAGCTCTGGAGATTAAACATATTCTAATTACTTATGAAGCAGCCTCGGGTCAAGCAGTTAATTGGCAAAAATCAAGTATTTTTTTCATCTCTAATACTTTTAAAGTGGATAAGGATGTTGTTAAAGGGGTTTTTGATGTGATTGCTCCTTTGAACTATGGAAGATATCTCGGCCTACCCTCATTAGTTGATCAGGACAAGAGGCATATTTTTTTCTTTTTTGAAGGATCGTGTGAGGAAGTTGGTTAGTGGTTGGAACAAGAAACTTTTATCCAAAGCAGGTAAAGAGGTGCTAATCAAGGCTGTGGCACAAACTATTCCTTCATTCTATATGAGTGCTTTCCTTATACCGACATCTATTTTAGAGGAGTTATAGAGGTTAATGAATTCTTATTGGTGGGGAGGGAAGATGAGATGGTTGAGTTGGAAAAGGCTGTGCGTAGCGAGGAAAGAAGAAGGCTTGAGTTTTAGACATCTGCGAAGCTTCAATCTAGCCATGCTAAGAAAGCACTGCTGGAGACTTTTACACAATATAAATTCTCTCTTTTATAGTTCTTTCAAATCCAAATATTTCCCAAATGGGGATTTCCTTGGTGCAGGCACTGGCAGCAATCCAAGTTTTGTATGGAGAGGAATTTGTGCAGCTAAGGATGCTATTAGCTAAGGATGCTATTTGTTCAGGTTTTCGGTGGCGAATTGGAGATGGCCAATCAGTAAATGTCTGGAATGAACCGTGGCTACTGAGGGATAATCAGTTTCAGGTTAACTTGCCTATCCTTCCTGGTTTTGAGCATATAAGGGTTTCAGATCTTATTTTGGCACAAGGAGATCGTGCTTGGAACTTGCCGTTGATAAATGGTCTTTTCAACTCTTCAATTGCTGAAGCTATTACCTCTATTCCTTTAGCTACAACCGTTCAGGACGACATCCTTATATGGCATTGGACAGACTCGGGGATATATTCCATGAAATCTGGATATAAAATAATAGCATCTCACTATGTGGAAACTGAAGAAGCTTGGCAGTCGGGTTTTTGGAAAACCCTTTGGTCACTGAAAGTTCCGTCGAAAGTGAGGCATTTCCTCTGGAGGTGTTGTAGAGACATTCTGCTAGCTAAAGCAACTTTGGCAAGAAGGGGTTTGGAGCTTGATACAGGATGTGATTATTGTGGGGCTGTTGAAACATTAGTCCATGCTCTTGTTGAGTGTCCAAGAGCAAGTTTTTGTTGGCAGTTTTTTGGTATTCAGCTGAATATTGGCATTTTTCCAAATTTCTTACAGATGTTGGAATATTGGCAAATTTTTTTTTTTTTTTTTTTTTTCCAATTTCTTACAGATGTTGGACATTTCACAACGGTGTGGGAGATTAGAGTTCTTTGAAGATTTTATTAATGGACTTTGGAGTGTTTGGTGGGCCGTATGAGTTAAATGGACCGTAATGAGTTGAAATGGAACCAAGTAGCAGAAGGACCGTATCATGTGATTACTCGAGCTAGAAACATGCTAGCCTCTTGGAAGAAAGCCCAGCTGAAGTCGTCTAATTCTGGTATAGATGTTTTTGCGGGTAATCAATGGCTCCCGCCACCTGCTGGCACCTTCAAAATTAATTTTGATGCAGCTCTCCTCCCCTCTGTTGGCCATGGAGCTTTTGGTGCTGTAATTTCAAACTGTCATGGTGAATTTGCATCAACATCAGCGTCATCATTGCGGGGTTGTTCTTCTCCAGCATTAGCTGAAGCTCAAGCGCTTAGAAATGTTTTGTCATGGTTGCTGTTGGACTACTCTAGTTTGCAGTTTCAGGTTGAGACTAATTGCCTGCAAGTTTACTATGCTATGAGGAGTTCTGTCCAAGACTTGTCTGAGTTTGGAGTTGTCATCTCTGAATGTAAGTTACTCTTAGTCCAATTGCCTAATGTCATTTTGGCTTGGATTAGAAGACAAGCTAATGATATAGCTCATGTTTTAGTTAAATCAGTTCCTAGTGGGGCTTATTTTCGAACTTGGAATATTGTTCCCGCTTATATTGCTTGTTTCTTCTCTTAATAATATATGAGCAATATTTCAATGTCAAAAAAAAAAAAATTGTTTGGAAAATACAAAAAAAAAAAAAAAGGAATTCACTGAAAAAAAGAATTCACTGTCATTAGTGGTAACTAGTTCGTACCGCATTAGCAGAATTTGAAGGTCATACTTCCCCTTCTTTATTCTGTAATTAGAGGAATTAAAAAGTTACAGGAGCCAAGGAGAGTTGTTTATGGAAAAAACAAAAAAAAAAAAAAAGGAATTCACTGTCATTAGTGGTAACTATTGTATCCCATTAGCAGAATATATGAGTCATACTTCCCCTTCTTTATTCTGTAATTAGAGGAATTTAAAATTACAGGAGCCAAGGAGAGTTGTTTAAGGGTGATTTTGAATTTTATTTTACTATATATGTCTCTTTCTACGAAATATGCACGTCAAAGGAGACGTGTAAAGAAGAGAGGGACCACACAAAAAAAAGCATAATTCCTCAATTTTGGGCCTTTTCATTTTAACTATTATTGGTGACTACTGTCTACAGGTTTATTATTTTAGAACGTGAAAGTGAAACCATTAGCACTATTAACTAGTGTTATGAGAGATTAATGAACCGATAAAGATAAAAATTTAATGAAATGAAAAGTTGGACCGAATTCAATATAGTTGAATTAAAATTTTTTATATATTTATTAAATAAAATTGAAAATACAGATGAAAAAAACTTCTATATCAAATAAAAAACGGTTTCAAATTTGACTTTTACAAAAAGAATAAAAAATTAATAAATAAATTTCAATAAAAGTATAAAATATGACTAAATTTAATATTAAAAAATTAATTAATTACCATAAAATATATTATTATTTTTCACATGTGGCTTTAAAGTTAGTCAATTTAATTGTTTTAATTAACATATTAAGACTTTGGGTTCAGAAATAAAGAGACTCTAAAACTAAAAATCACTGGATCTAATTTTTAAGAAGCCCAAATTTTAAAAAGGTCCACGTTTATAAAAAAAAACCTTTTGTTAATTCGATTCATCGATTTTTAACCTGTTTTCATTCAGTTTTTGTTGGTTCGGTTTGGTTTTGAGAACAATACTATTAACCCACCTCACTTCTTAAACATCGATTCCAAAAGCCTAAAATTGAAAAATACGTTACCCGCTAATTATTTCATCTTAAAATGACTTTTCTATTTTAGGTACTCAAAATTTATCGATCTCTTCATGAGCATACTCAAAAAGCAAATTAGATTTACGAGTGACAACAACGAATATAATGATTATTTTGTCACTATCCTTTTAATTTCCTGTAAGGGGAAGAGAGATAATGAGTTGAAAGAGAGAAAGAGTAAAACATTAATCTCCTTTTTAATTCGAAGGGTGCATTTTGCATTTAACTAAACTTATATTACTTCTTGAGCTTACTAGGTTATTAGTCCAATTGTAAGAGATGAAACAAGTTTTGAAATCTACAAATTCCTTAAAATTTATACTCTACATACAGACCATTGAAATTAACTGGGTCAAAGGTTTATTCTTCATCAAGATGATCTGGAAAAATTAATGATGGAGAGCTATGGGGTTCCTTTCTTTTTTGGCATTTTTCACAAGCGTTCCTGTATTATTTGACACGAGACTAATTTCATTTTGAAATTTGTAACGGTCCTTTCCATTGATATTTTTACTAAAGATCCAATCACTGTAATCACTTTAACTTGTACATGAAGATAATTAGATAATCCTGTGATAATCAAAAAGGAATTGACCCCTAACTAGAAATGCTAAAAATGGAAAAGTAAGAAGAAACGGAAAAAAAAAAAAGAATTCTCAAGGGCTTTTTGACAAGTCCTTAAAATATGTAAAATAAATATGGCACATTGGTTCCATTATTATGTTCAAATAAAATCAAACCAATTCTCGAAAAATCACATTTAGTAATTATCTTATCAAACCTTAAAAGAAGTAATGTTTCATACTCTGCTTTCAAACTTTAAACACTGCTATAGACGTTATATTACCGAACATTATAAATAATGGAGAACGGAGATAGCATTAATATAAATGTTACACCACCGAACACCATAGATAATATAGATAGTATTTTGATGATGTTGCCAAACAGGGCTCTACTCTTTGAAGATTTTTCAATAGCCTAATCCTCATTTCTATATAATTTATCTAATAATAATATCCACCTAAATACATCAAATTTCGGATTCTAAACAGTAAATGAAATTCAAACTAAATAGAAGAATGAGACAATGTAATACTACACAGATAAGAATATTTTGTACAATAGTAAAACGCTCTAGAGAAATTCAAATAATGTTAGTTCGAACTTCCAACCAAAAATTTCCAATACTAAAAGAGAACTACTACAAACAATGGCCATATTGAAATTCAAATTCAATCTTCAAAGCCCATCAACATTTGGACTTAGTTCAACGACTAATGGAGCAAACCTATTGGATAAAAAAATTCTGGGCCAAACCCATTAAAAAAAGTCCTCACTTTCCAAATTTCTGGAGAAAATATTGAATGCATCTGGGCATACACGAAAATAATGCACATGTACGTGAGTGATCAAATCCAAATACAAAAAATTCTCAAATTTGTGCTAGCAGTCTTCCAACAAAAATAATTTTCTAATGAATCATTTTACCAAATACAACGAATGAAGTATCAGTTTACTCCACCCAATCATGCATATCCAACTAAAAATATTGCACAAGAATGCAGCTCTGAAATTGCTTCAGATTGCCAAACAGAGAAAGCAATAACTTTAGCTCAAGATAGCATGCAATGCAAGACTATTTTGTCCATGATATTTTTGTGGAAAAGCCAAAAGCTTACTTCATATATGATCAGACTGCAGTATTGAGATGAGTATTGAAAATGTGACGATGGATCAAACAGTCCTGCGAGTCAAGAAAATAGAGCATATCGTTACTTTACTTCAATTGGAGATGCTAATTATTTTCATGGCTCCACGAATTTATGGTGACAATACCTCAGACTGATGTTCCATATGAGGAGTCCAGACTGCTGAAGACTCCAACTGGGCTTTTAAACAAACATGGCTGCTGAACTAGTAATCTATTTAAAGCAAGAAGACAAAGAAAAACCATTCAGTAACATGGCTTTTATTTCATTCAAGGGTTCTCATTGATTGATACTGCATTAGCATGTCACTATACAGAAAGAATCCATGTTCACATTCCAGAAGCTCCTGGAGTCCTCCCTGCATATAACATTTGCAAAATTCACTACCAAGCAAGAAATCCTTGAGGGAAACCAAGAAGAAAATGAACTTCAAGTCGATATTAACATCACTAAAGGAATCTGGTGACCAACAGTAATGCAAGTGTGCAGAGGAAGAGTTATTTCTATTAGAGGAACAGCAATTGTTGAAATCCCGCAAAATACAGGTCTGATGCGACAACATTCGGAAGACTGGTATAGCATGCAGAAACAACTATTCCTTTTAGATTTGATGGTGATGGAGCAAGAGGGAGACCCTAACCAGATTGAAGTGAGAAATACACAGATAGCCAATGCCTTACTGTATGATCCAACAGCTTCAGATGACCAACTAAGATTTGTTGATTGTGAAGAGTTAAATGGTGTGAGTAAATTATCCCTAGCAAGGGCGAGTCAAGGTATTAAGAAGTGTCAAATTTTGTTAATTTTCGTCGATGTCCTTCATAAAGTTCTTTTATAAGGCCATCCAACATTACTACAAAAGGACTATGAAGAAATAGAAAAGAAGCAAGAGACTAATACAGTAAGAATAATGGGAAGGGTTTCTCAGGGCATTTTACTGATTTTCATCTTCTTGTCCACGAAGAATCAGAAACACATAAGAAACATACTTCAATTTGAACAACAACTTAACCACATTTCAGCTTCCTTATATTCAAGCCCTCAAAATTTGGCATAAGCAGTTACTGATCCGAAATTATGCCATATGCCCATATGTTATGAAATTCTCATCCTTAAATATCTGTTTCAATGCATGAACATAGCATTTCCATTTCCTAATAATTAGATGTCAGAAAGTGACTGCAGCACTTTATCTACTTGGTTACCATATCTGCCCACAAAAAGTCTATGATCCCTAACATGCTTGAAATGAAATTTCCAAATCATCTAAAAGTGCAAGTCCGAAGAAGAATTGCAAGTCATTGTTTATGCTAAGCATATTTTTAATGTTTGAAAGCAGAAATCCATTCTTCCCCGATAGGTTTTGCATTTGAGCCAGCAGCCATACATCCCCTTATGAATTAAAAGGAAAAACAGACGTTAATGCAGGAAAGCTGCTATCGTCGAATGTAAATGTCCATCTCCTTGGTTATTGAACCCACATAACTTCTACAGATACACTGTATCCATTGTTCACCAGTTTTTACCATGTGAACTTTGAGCACAACCACGATGCACATCCCAAATTAATGACCATATCACAAAGGGAAGATGAAAAATGAGCTCTATGGTAAAAGGCTTAATAAGCTCTATAACTAGAAAATAAATCAACTCCAGACCAAATAAAAACATCACTTTAATAGCAAGGAGAATTGATATAGCAAGATGAAACTCCCGGATTTCATATTAGCATTTCCCAAGTATAATGCTTATAATACCAACATGTTTACTCTCATGTATACCAAAGGCATCTTTGAACTATACAAAAGCCTAAAAGATGATGATACAAATTAGAGCTCAGACAATATGCCTTTACCAATTCTCAAATCAAATACTTCTATCAACTTGACAATTAATATGAAATGTTACAATTTTAAAATGTGGCTTGCAATATGGTATCCCAAAACAAGAGCTGAAAAAAAATAGAATTGCAATGAACACCAGCCAAAACTGGAAAAAGTACTAAATTGAAAATCAATGGGAATAGAAAAGCTTGGACGTTGAAATGCTACAAAAAAGTGAAACAAAACTATTCTCATTGACTTCAAAGACATGGAAATCAAATGATGACAACAAAAAGTATCAAGTGTGCGACTCTCTTGGAATATACATACACACACCCATAAAGAATGAAAAAAAAAACCCCCTTCACACTCACTTGTCTCATCAATCATCAAAGATGGTGCTAACAAGTTTGCCCATTGCCAAATTCAGAGCAAGAAACAAAGGAAATGCAGGACAACCAAAGAACATTACATGCAATCAACTTACATCTGTAAATGAAATACAACAATTTTCTTAACATTAAAACTTCATATATAGACCAAGTACAGATAGCTCGACAATTGATAACAAGTTTTCTCAAATCAAACATTCATGTGAATACAAGTACAGATACAAATACCTTGAATTAAGCTTGATATCAACAATATCAGTTCAAGGCAATGCAGCAAGTCTGGCTTCAAATACGAACCCTCTCCAAAGTCCATCTCCACCACCACAACCAGGCGCCCCATCAATCCACCTCCAGATGGTCCTTTCTCCACCACAATCAATCCATAGAGCCAATTTGCCCACCCTTTTGGCTGAGAAACAAACTCTATCACCATTACCAAACACCTTCAGCTTACTTGACTCCTTAAAACATTTGTACATCTCCATTGGCATTCTTCCAGCTTCCTCCCATTCTAATCTCTCCAAATCTAACCTCAATATCAATATCGTCGAACACGAAGGGTTCAATGAGAATGTCGATTTCAACCCTCCAATCATCAAAAGTTTATTCCCTTTCCCACGAACCAGACGGGGCCGTTTTATGATATCAAACAGATCAGCCCACTCGTGCTTTTCCAAGCAAACCCAACGATTATGATTCGACGAACACGACGACGTGTTGCTGTTTTTGAGATTGTTTGGATAATTCAGATTCGATAACTTGCATGTAAAGAGTTTCCATTGAGATCTCCAAGGAGACCCAACATCACATAAAGCGAAAACCGAATCTGAAACTAAAATCGGACTTCTAGGTTTTGATGGAAGATTTGCAGAGAAAGTTAGCCACGAATTTGCATTTGTGTTTGCTAAATATAAAGCAGCGAGTTCAGTAAGTACCATAACTCGGTTCGCTGAGTCTACCAAAACAGCACCGTGTCTCGACCAGGCCGAGCCTAGCTGAGGTAAAACCTTGAACTGACGAGTCAACGGATTACAGACCACAAGAGACTTGTTTGACTCGGTCGAGTTAGGTGAGTCGCCCCAAAAATAAACGAGTCCACCAGCTGATGCTACAGGGTGCGGAGACCTGAAAGGTAAAAAGCCTAAATTAAATCTAATCCACTGGCTTTGCTCGGGGTCGTATACGTGGAGAGAAGGCGGAGGAGACACTTGGCGATGATGGTTGTGGTGGTGGTGGTGGTGGTGATGGTGGTGATGAGGAGGCCGTAAAGCAAGGAAACGAAGAGGAGGTTTAGTGGAGATGAGGTCCATGAAGGGTACTGAAGTCAACATCTGATTGAAAAACTTGCAGACTGATCGACAGATCATGATTTGACGGAGCGAAAGAGATGAGAAGATCTGGTGAAGTGTGTCTTCTGGTAATCTGTTGATCGGCGACGCATCCATTTCGTTAAGATAAGCAGGCGACGTACTGGATCAGCAAGAAAGAGAAGAAGAAGAAGAAGAAGAAGAAATAGATAAACGAGGAAAGTGAGGAAGGGAATTTCGTGGGTTTCCGGTCATTTGGATTCAAGTATTTTAAAAATTGAAGTAATTTATAGTCTATATAAATTATTAGTATTATGTAAATATAAATAATTTTAATACTCTCTATAATTACAGCGAATTAATAATATCTAATTTATGATAACTTTTTATAATCTTCATTTGGATTTTTAAATAATAAGATAATGTATTTTTGAAAAAGTCATACAATTTTGTGGTTTTTTTTTATTTAGAAAAATTAAACTAAAATTTCATTAATTAAAAACTGTATATAGATACAGAATAATATATTTCTATATTTTTGTATGGAAAACCTAATAATAAACCATTTGTATTATATAAAGAATAAAAAAACATAATTTTGATTTGAAGTGTCAGATCGAGTTGACAGAACATAATATTTGTGTCACAGGTGACCGCTATTCAACTCAATGGTCTACAAGTCCAATTTGATCGTGTTCAAATTTCTTACTTTTGTTGGAAAGGATATCTGCACTTCTTTCTACATAATTATCCAAATAATAAAATGTGTTAGACAAAATCATCATAAATGTGATAATAATAACTCAAAACTAAATCTGAGGATAAAATTCAATATATAGAAAATAATAAATCTTAATATATAGACAACAATAATTCAGATATGTAAACAGATTTAAGAATTATTTAAAAAAAATAAACAAAAAAAAGAAAATGGGTAACCACCGATGACCACTCATAGAAGAAGAGGAAAGAGATTTTAGTTTTTCAGAAAAAGGAGAGAGAGCAAATTAACTAAAAAAAATTTTGTGGTTCTTTACATATCATAATTTGATAATTCATTAAAAATATATATAATATTTTATTAGAATTTAAATCTAATTGAATCTCATCTAGAATTCTTATTATATATTTAAAAATATTAGAATTGATTCTCAAGTTGCAATAAAAAATTAATATATGATGGATGCCTCTAAGTATTTGCTGTTGTATCACCCTCAGCTTTATTAATGATGGAGCTATCTTTTTTTTTTTTTTTTTTTTTTTTTTTTGATGCCTCTTAAGTATTTGCTGTTGTATCACCCTCAGCTTTATTAATGATGGAGCTATCTTTTTTTTTTTTTTTTTTTTTTTTTTTTTTTTTTTTTTTTTTTTCAGAAACCAAAATAAAATATTTAAATTATGGTTTAATAAACATTAAGTTAGAAAATAAGTCCTGTCTGATAGGGGATTTATTGTTCAACAAGGTATCAAATGATCCCTTACGATTAACAGTGCACCATCATACTCATGCAAGAGTGAAAAAAAAAAAAAAACATTTATGTATTTAAACAATAACCCAAAACTAAGAATTTACAAATTGAAGAGGTGTAATCGACTGTTTATACCAAGGTTTACTAAAAATGTATCTATTTATGAAAAAAATGGTATATATTTTTGATATTTTGATTATAAATGTTGGTTTAATTTTTAATCTCTAGATGTATCTTCGTCTAATAAAATTATTTTAGGCTAATTTAATTTTTGTTTAGAGAGTGTAAGTGCCTTCTTCAACGGTCTTGGCAAGGTGTAAAGTCAGTTAAGGCGTACAGCGAGGTTAATTGATCAGCGGCTGACTGATTGGCGAGTGGGGCATTATCTGAATCTCTGGGACTAAAGATTTTGCAAAACCTGTTCATAGGGTGAAACATCATTTGGATGTGGATCCTGTGGAGCAATATGACCTCGTGTGATTTCATAAGGGCTTAATACCCTCCTTTGCATTAAAAAACAAAATAGATATCCTAAAAATTAGAAAGCCATCAATATTAGTTTTATATTTTTGGTCAAAATTTTTAAGATTTTTACTTTTTAACACCTTTGATTTACTATTTTGTTCAATTTTATTTTATTATAATTTTTATTAGATTTTCTTACTTTACATGTATTTTTTTAAAAACAAAAATTAAATTATTAAATTATTTTTTTAGAAATATAATTTATTAATAATAAAATCAAGTATTACAAATATTCAATTGGATGAGAAAGAATATCATTTAACAAATCAAAAAAATTATCCATATTATTATGAATAATAAAACTAAAACTAAGGATTTTTCTACTTGAAGATATAAATCTTCATAGAAGCAGTTGGTCCTTTAATTGATTTAGACTACAAAATAACTTTTTCGAATCTTCTACTTTTGGATTGCTTTTCCAAAAACTTATTGTATATGACGTATACAGGTGAGTTCATGCCATTATGCATTAATAATATTAATGGATGAACATGCCACACAATAGACTCCATTGATTGAAAACACACATTAGTAAACCATGATCTAAATTTTCCAACTAAATAAAATCAAATATCATATCCTTTAGTAACAAACATTCACAAAAGAAACTAAACTCTCACGGAAGAAGGGATAAATAAAAGAACTCCAAATATGGAGACAAAACAACAGTAGCAAAAAACAAAGAAAAAACATATCTATTAGAAGAAAATAGATCTAAATTTATTAAAAACGAATAAAAGATCATGAGCAAGAAGAAAAAATAAAAAGTAGGGGGCTATTGCTAATCAATAGCGGCAGCCTCAAACAAAAACTAAGGTTAGTTAGAAAGACTAGAGAAAAAAAGAGGAGAAGAGAAACCCTCTAGAGAGAAAAGAGGAGGAGAAAATCTTTTCAATGACTTCTGATAGGCAAAATCTCAAAGCTAACTATTAAAATTATTAAATTATTAACTTGATAATAGATATAATATTTTCGATAATAATTGTAAAGATGAAAAGATAATTCAAATTTTTAGTTTAAATCATTACTCCCTCCATTCTCTTTATTTAAAGAAAATTTTATTTTTGGGTGTATTTTTTATATAGAGAAAGTTACTCTAAATAATAACTTTGGGATGCAAACCAAGTTAAAAAGACTAGAAAGCCATTGAAGCATATGTGTTTTTTTAAGTTTGAAGGTCAACAATCAAGGAAAGTGACAGACACAAATATTCTCAGTATTTAATGCACGAGTGTTTCAAGGGACAAGTTATCAACTCACTTTTTAATTTCATTTTATAGTAACGGTGGTCGTTTTTATAAATTTAGCCACATAAATATAGAGTTAGCCCTTATTTATATGTTTGATGAGATAGATGACCTAGTAAGAAAAATTATGGAGGACACACTTGTTGTTGTTTATGCCGATCTAGGTAAGAATGGTGACATTTAATAGGTTAATGTGAATTTTTATTGGTAGTAATTGTGCATTTTCTGATTATCTTTAACTTTTTTGTAAGCCACTTAGTGGCTTTTTATTTTTAGTACCAGTGCACTTTTCAAATCCTTATAATGGTTGTACTCTTTTATAAGCCATGTTGTGGCTTTATTATTATTAGTTGTGCATTTTTCAAAATGTAAAGTTGTCACATTTTGCTAGACGGTGTACTTTTTAAAAAATTGTGCCTTCAAACTCACTAAAATTCAAATTTTAGTATTTACTTTCAAATTAAAACTTGTTAAAAGGCCAAATACAATAGGTCAAATAATTTTTGAGAATGCATAAGTATGTGAATATAAATTGATAAGATAAGATAACAAGATTACAAATTGAGAAGAGAATTAATGTGATTAATTCATAGGATTCAAGTCTATTTTATTTTGAAGCTATTTCTGCGTTATTATGTATAGGATTCAAGTCTGAAGGATGCAAAATGTGGCCATTTCTAGATATGGTGTAACCCATTTAGACGTTACGGAGAAGTGAATAGATTTTCTTTGAATCAGATTATTAACTGTGATTTCATTTATATGTAGCCAAGGTTTAGAAGTCAAGGAGTCTAATTGTAAACTCAAAAAATTTTGACTCCAAATTCTATTTTATTTTGAAGCAATGTATTGTATTTGAGCGCTACTTTCTGAATTTCATTTAAATTTGGAGAAACCAAATTTTACTTTTAATTTTAAATTTGAATTGAAAAAATATACAAGTTTAAACAAGTTAGAGCCAAAATTCAAGTTTTCCCTTTTTTATTGTCACCGAAAATTTTAGAAATTTGTGGCCTTCAATGAATAAGTTCAAAAATTTGACTTTTAATTTAACTTCAAAATTTTTTTCATTTTTGTGCACATATTATATAAAACATCCCCATTTTAATAAAGTTAATAAAGAAGGTTGAAAGTAATGGCCGAATGGTGCAAGTAGGCAATAAATGTAGTTTTTAGGATTGCCTCATAATTAATGATGAAATGAAGGATATTTTAAGGAGAAAACTTAATTTAACTAACTTTTTTTATCTTAGAGATTTTTCTGTTTTCTTTAAATAAAGAGAACAGATGGAGTAATTTTTATAACAACTTGAAATTTTTAGCCTGATAAATTGATGAAAACTCTTATTATCGAGAGGACTCGAAATCATAAGTGCAAAGACCAACGAACGACACCTGATTATCTACCCCAACTTGAGTTAATTGTTTAATAAACTAGTTATTTGTGGGGAAAATATACATGGTTAGATTCTAACTAGGTATCAATTAATGCTTTAATGTAAAAACTTAAATACGTGGGATTCATATGAACTTTATATACTTTGCAGTTTGTTATACCATGACCCACTGTTACACTAGTTTTTAATTCAACTTTGCTAGGCTCTAACCATCTATCCATGATCTTATTTATATGTGTGCAAAGCATGTCTGGTACATTATATACAAACTACTGTCTTGAAATTTTTAAATGAGACAGATTTCCAAATATGTTATATCTATATACATACGCGAATTGAAAAAAAAAAAAAAATATTAGGATGGATGCAAAAAGTCATGGTTTGTTGAGACACATAGGCCCCCCCTTTTTTTTTCATAAAATAACTTCCAGAAAATATTTTTTTAGAAATTTCGGTTGTTTGGGAGCATCAAGAAAATAAGTCGAACGAAAATATTTTCCTGGTTAAAAGAAAATTAAGCCATTTTTAAGAAAAATGACTTTCCATTTTTAAAAGCATCAAATATTTTCCGAACTTGACAAACTTATTATAACCTTATAAATTCATAGTTTTTAATTTACAG